ATATATATGAGTCGCATTTCAAATACGCGTCGCATGTAGTCTCAAAGGCACTTCTATTCACACATTAGGTCGAAGCTATGGAGGAGGCGGTGGTAGTCGTGGTGGTGGCCGAGGTGGTCGGTATGTAAAACGAGAATTTTTATATATACATGTTTTCTGTCGAAATTTTCGTTGATTGCGTTTTAAGACGAGACAGTGACTGTAATATTGGTGTTTGTGTGCTTGTGCTGGATCCATGCATCTTGTGGGCCACTGGCGTGCCTGCTGGTCAATCATTTAATCAGGTACGCTGTTGTGGTCACCTAAATGATAGTGATATATACATGTATATATGTATATTATGAATAAGTTATATTATAGATCATTGTTCACGTCTCTTCTTGTTTCCATTCTTTCGCGGTTATTATTCTCGTGAGCAGGCTATATATATATGGTAATTCATTCTTCTGGCTATCTATCTGTTAAAAGCCTTCGAATGTACTCGCCGAGTAGGTTCTACTCGTATGTGCCTGTTGTGGCTCATAGTGATCGGTCAGTGTATGGTTCGTTCGCGCAAGATCACCTGGGTAAACAGCGCAGGTTTGTGTACAGATGCACGAATGTCATTGTGATTTGTTTATATATGGTATGGGGTGTATATGCAAACAAATCCGCAGCTATTTGCAATGAGAGTGGTTATGTATTGCGATCCGAGGCGGATGCCATCCTTTTGGGATGTAGGAGTGTTTGTGTACATACATTAAACACGCATGTATACGTCAATACACTCGCAGCTCTGTAGAGAGAACGAACGCGATTGGGCTATGGGCAGATGCGATTTAGATAGAGTCAGAATGTAGAGTTGAAGCAGAGTTGAAGATGCAAATTGTTGATGTTGTGTGGAAATTCGGGATTGGGGATGTTGATTTTAGCGAGAGTCGATGCGGAATGTGGGTCGATATGATGTGACGGATCTCAGAGAGGACTTGTCCTTTCCATGTGTGCTATCTTGCTAGGTACATACTGTAATATTCGCGGAAATGCGCCAATCCGTTTCTCACTCGGCGTTATATGTGCAGCTTCTGTCGATACGGTTAAACGCTATCTGCCTATATGCGCAACCTGTTATTGTATCCGTATCCGTATGTGTTATATAGCACATGCTGCTCTCGTTAGCACTTGGTAGCAGCGGCGTTGCTGTGAGGTATCCACCGCATATAGCTTTGAGGCGTTCGGTGACTTGGCGGATCACAGGGGAACGTATCGGTAACTGGAATCACTATACACTATACGGATGCTTGATGGTCTATCTACCATATACTATACACTTTACGGATGCTTGATGGTCTATCCACCGTATACTATACACTATACCGATGCTGGATGATCTATCTACCCTATATGCTGAGTGCCGGGGTTGTCCATAGCAACCATCGCAATGCACCGATACCATAAGCGGAACATAGCAGCCGATTCGTTCTCTAGTCCTGTTTTCGAGGAGACCATGTCTATCACTTCGGTACTTTGTACAACATTCCCGAGGTGTATGTGGGTGCAGTAGGTCCGATCGAAATGATTCCCACGGTTCCCATTCAGCTGCTCATATACACTTACACAACCGGAGGTATCCAGAGCTCGACTGCAGTTCGGTACGTATGCATAAATGCTCACCTGTGTGTTCTAACAGACCTCCATTCTCTTTGGTTATAGATACATATCCCCCGAGGAGGAGGATGCGCTTAGACACACCACTTCACTGTATGTCGGCGGCATCCCGTACAGATGGCGCGAGCGTGAGGTCGAAGGTATGCCCTGCACACACTAATCGGTGCATTATATATGGGATAGAGATACAGGGGCCCCTGCGGAACTCTAATATATATCCGTGACCGTCTGATTCAAGTATCTGAGTGTCTATGTATAAGAGGGCCTCTTAAGGTACGATATACCAGGCCACCAGGATGATTAGATAAATAGGGCTAATGTGGATAATTAGGTATACAAAGTAACGTTCTAGGGTTTTTCGGGAATGTGTTTAGGTGTACCGAAGTTGCTGCACGATACGTTTTATGTGGATAGATACAGTGTCTTTCATTGAAGTGGGTGTTATTGATATAGTTTGCCGAGGTTGTTATGTTTTTGCCTGTGATAGTATACCTGAGCAATTGAGTATGTGCATAGGCAACACCGCTTCGCGCAGAATTGTAGACACCTTTAAATTCACATCGCACAACTTTTATTCAATACATATATATATTATATTATATTAAGCGCATTTTCTCGTGCGATAAAGAATCAGCAACGAAACTACATACCGCCACCCTTTTGGCTCATGCATGCATCTGTCTTCTGCGCACACAGATATGTTCGACCGCTATGGTCGCATTGCATCGCTCACGGTAACGTACGACAGAGAGACTGGGCAGAACAAGGGCTTTGCGTTCGTTACCTTTGAGGACCGTCGCGATGCCGAGGACGCTTTTGTAAGTGTGTCTGTTTGTTCACTCACTCGATCGTTAGTGTATAGTGGGGTGTTGGTTTGTTTGCGTTTATGTTACCGTGTCTGAAGTTGTTAGTGTGTGTGAAGGTATGGTCACAATGGCTTTGACTGTTTGTTCTCATGTGCGTTTGTAACTGATTCCTGTATTTTTATTTGTTTTAGCTGTATTTATGTATGTAGAAATATATATGTCCCAAGGACATAAGTCTATATAAGCATACACTGGTAGTATCCACCATCGAAAATGTGTTCTGGTTTATCCATAATGGGTAATCATTACAACATCCGCACACATATCGTGTCTACCTCTGTATCTAATATCCTAAGCTGTTTAGTGTATTTTAGAATGATTATCCTTTATTCTACTATGCGTTGTTTATTAATTATATATATATAATTTTACTTGGTTGTGCTGTACTGTAGGATGATTCACATCGGCATGCTTATACCTTTTTGGTTGCCATGTGTATTGTAGGATGATTTGCAAGGAGAGAACATTGACGGGCGTCGTATTCGGTTGGATTGGGACGCGGGATTGCGTAACAAAGCACGCAGTGGCCGATTTGACGGTGGTGGCCGAGGCGGCGGCAGCAGGTGTGTTTTTTATCCTTATAACTATGTATGTGTGTGTGTTTTTTATCCTTATAACTATGTATGTGTGTGTGTTTTTGTATCCTCATAACTGTATATATGTGTGTGTTTGCATATTGAATATATATATATAAGCGTGGGTGTATCATCATACATTGGATGGTTAGTCCGACGTACGATTACAAGTGATTTACGTTTGTAGATTTATGCTAGTGATATGTGTGTATGGATTTGTTTCAATATAAGATGTGTTTGATTTTTAAGCATTTTGTGTGTTCCTGTACACGAGTATATATCTACTTGCTCTCCATATACCATACCTAGCCGATACATAGTATGATAGAGTCTAACCCTAAACCTTAATATCTAGTATGATCCGAGTCTATACCTCATTCGACATTTTCTCCTTCCTTTTCCAAAGTAGAAGAGATGAGCGTCGGCGATCACGCAGTAGATCCAGATCTCGTGGCCGTGGACGTGATCGCAGACGTTCACCGTCATACTCGCGATCTAGATCGCCAAGGAGGGATCGCAGCCGCGGCCGCAAGAGTGTCTCCAGATCTAGGAGCAGATCCAAGTCCAGATCTAGATCTAGATCCCCAGCCAGGAAGGATGTCAAAGAGTCGTCCAAGTCGCCTGCGCCCCGTGAGAAGTCCAAGTCGCGTTCACGCTCGAGGTCGCACAGCCGCTCGCGTTCACGCTCACGCTCGCCTGTCAGGTAAGAATCTTAAGCCAAGAGTGGTGGATGTTGTTATACTTATAATTAGAAGTCGAATATATGTATCTATGATATGTGGTGCTGTAAATAGACTATCTATATGCGGTGCATGCTGTTATACTTATATTTAGAATAGAATATGTATCTATGATACGTGGTGCTATAAGTAGACTATATGATCGGAGCTCCCTTAGCCTTGGCTCCTTTACTGGTTGCCTGGTGCCGGGAAAGGGGTTTTGGCTAGTTCGGCGAGCAGTATGGTACACCTCAATGTGTCTTTGCTTCATGTTTGATGGATATAACTTGACCTACCAGTGCGACCGCTTCTATAAACTCTAGTTTTGTACTTTACATCCAATGTCAACTGTAGAGATTCAAATGACGCCGAGGACAAGGCGGCGGACGCCGAACTCGCAGACGAGTAGATACACAAATATAATGTTGAGTGAGGAGCATATACAAGAATAGACTTATCGTGTGATGGCTATTGCGAACATTTGGTTTAGTCGCCCTTTAGAGAGACTACACGGTTGGGCATAATCAATAAACATATCTGAATGTACCGTTCACAAGGCCTGTGAAGGCATCCTGGTTGGTGAGCTGGGAGTGTCTGATAAGATAGATGAGGGAAATGAAGTAGAGGTGAGACGTTCCCACGCTCAGTCGCTCATGGTTGATCTGTGTGTCCAGTCTTCAGTATACTAATCGGTGGTCTGTAAAACACGCAAGTTAGTAATTAGTTAGGCACTAATTAGACACTTTCACTAAGATGAGACGTTCCAACGCTCAGCCGCTTAGTTATTCTGTGTCCAGTATATAGTATACTAATCAGTAGTCTCCATTATTAGTGGGCTGGAAGTTGCTAATTAGTTGGCCAATTTCAATGGGTTCAGCATGGCGAATCTTTCACGCTGTACCACTTCGCAACTAGTTTTAATGTACTCTGTAGCATTATTTTATATCACAGACGAAATGTTTAAATTCATTTAGAAGACGTTCTATGTGTATTGTGTAGCATTAGTTTATATCACAGACAAGATTGTTTTTAAAATTTATTTACAAGACGTTCTATGAGTTTCACGTGATGCCCTTGCTTTGACCTGGTTTTAATGTAATGTGTAGCATTAGTTTATATATCACAGACGAGATTGTTTTCGAATTTTTTCTTTCTTTTCATTCTGCATAACGCAACTAGTGCGCTCTGCCATCGGAATATAACTATATATACCTTGCATCCTCTTATATAGTAGTATGCCGCTAAGCCTTGCATCCGTTTGTACAGTAGTATAAATCTATGCCTAGGATCCTCTTATATAATTTAAGGCGATGGGTCTTGTATTCTCTTGCATAGCGGGTAAACCTCCAGGTCTTGAATCACCTTATACGACAGTAAGCCTATGCCTGGCATCTCTATTATAGTAGTAAACGTTAAGGCCTTGCATCTCTATTATAGTATTAAACGCTTTTGCCTTGCATCTCTTATAGTAGTAAACGCTTATGTCT